ATATCTATATATCTCTCTCTCTCCTTTCTCTCATATCTGGCCCCCTCAACTTCCCTCCCTGCCTACCTGCCTTTATCCACTTAACTCTACCCTACATTCTTCTCCCCTCCCATCCTCTTATTCACTTTACATCCTCCACCTTATTCATTCCCTATGTTCCCCGCCCATCCCTTCGTCTTCACATTGCCGCCCCTTCTCCTCCCTCCTTCGTTTTGTCCCTTCCTCCCCTTCTCTCTTCTCTCTCTCTCTCCATCTCTCATCTCTCTCCTCTCGCTCCCCCTCCCTTCCCTCCCTGTTTTTCCCCTTCTCTCCCCCGTTCCCTCCCCTCCTTCTTCCCCCCCTCCTCTCCTTCCTCCTCCCCCCTTACCCCTTCTTCTCTTTATTCCCCGCCCTCCCCTTTTCTTCCCTTCTCCTTCTGCGTCTCTCCTTCTTTGTCCCTTCCTCCCCTCCCTCCTCTCTCCTCTCTCTCGGTCCTCTCTAACTCTTACCTACCTCCCTCAATGCCCCCTCTTTTTCCCGTTTCGTTCCCTTCCCCCACCTTCCACCCCCCGTTCGCTCCCCTCCTTCCTCATCCCCTTCCCCCCCCTCTTCTTCTCCATTTCCTCCTCCACTTCCTTCTCTCTTTTCCCTATTCACCCTCCCTCCCTTTTCTTCCCTTGGTCCTTTTCTGCCTCGCTCCTTCTTGTTTCTTTTTTTCACTTCCTCCCCATCACCCTCTCTCCTCTACTATACCTCTCTCTCTCTTCCTTGCTCCCGCTCCCTTGCCCCCTCCCCTCAATACTTATTTTTCCCCCCGCCCCTTTCTTTACCCCTTCCTCTCCCACTCCTCACTTTTCCCACCTCCCCTCCTCCTTCTTCCCTTCCTCCTCCCCTTCCTTATCCCTTCTTTTCCCCTCCCTCCCTTTTAGTAAATTGGTGATATACTTGTCTTATTTTTTTTAAATTAATACAACTACATATATTTGTAAAAGAAAGATAACCAAAGTGTGTATGAGAAAATCATTATAAAATATATACCATTATATATATATTATTTTTTTTTTCTATTTTTGTGGGTATTAGTAATTTTCTCTATATTATAAATATTCAATTTATTAATATATAAGCCAGATCGGTATATGTAAAACGTAAAAATATTTATTAATTTCAAAATTTATATTAATATATATAGATAAATATAATTTTCTTTTTCAAGTCTCTTAAAAAGTTTAACTATTATTAAATAATAATTATTAAAATAAAATGATAATTATTAAAATATTAATCAAATTTATACTAAAATAATTCTCTCTTTTCCCCCCCCCTCCCTTATTCTTCTATTGTCCTTCTCTTTCCCCCCTGGGTCCTTCTTTTTCTCACTTCCTCCCCCTTCCCCCTCCTTGCCCCCCTCCCCCGCTCCCGTATTCCTCTTTCAATTCAATCCCCTCCTCCTCTTTCTATCATACTCTCTCTGGCTTCCTCCCCCTGTTCAACGGCTCCCGCTGCTCGTTTTTTCTCCTTCCAGCTCGCTCCTTTTCCCCATTAAAATATTTTTTTCGAATAACGCTATATATATATATATATATATATAATATATATATATATAATATCTATATATTTATAATAACATACAAATAAAATAATTTTAAAAATTATCAGAAAAAAGTCAATAAAACGTGAGAATTTTATTATGTTAAAGAAACGTCTTTGTAATAAATTTGTAAGAGTATTTGACATTAAGAATTTTTTCACACATGAGGTTGAATTTTGTTGGAAGAATTGACGTGTTGGATTGAAGTGATGTCCCGTAGGAAAGTCACTGTCCCGTTTCTGAAAGCAGTGAGACTCTGTACAGTACACCCATTAGCGGGGCCCACGAGTCATTACCATTAATCATATGCCAGAGTATACCAATATTCCATTTACCTTTCACATATAGCAACATTAAATTTCATTATCGTAACAATTACTAACTATTTTTTAACAAATTATTAAGAAATTATAAGAATTATCGTACAACTGAAGATATCTCATGAAAAACACACACGTGGATATAAAAACATATGTAAAACGCGATATCCGACCATAATATTTTTCACTAAAACTGTCATTAGTTAGATGGAGAGTAATTGACACCATTCTCAGCAGAAGTCTTACCTTTCTCCGTCTTTCCCGTTTCATAGTGACGGTGGTTTGAGGTGGGAGTAGTAGCAGGAACGGGAACAGGAACAGGAACAAGAGTGGTATTTGAATGGAATGAGGAGGTTGTCCTATGAGAACTTTCCTTAAGATATTTTGTCCCGAGTGTTCTTTTTGGCTTTATGCTAGAAAGTTAAGGAAAAAGTAATATCACAGGAATAACATCCTCAGGTGAAATACCGTTCAACTTTATGAACATTATTTTCACTCTCTCCCACAGCACAATTTTCTAAGATCTATCATCCATGGTCTCACCTTAAAGTTTATTTCTTTTGTTTTTGGATACATGTAAAGTTTATATTTTTATTCCCAAATTGAATCAAACGTCAGGTTTTCTGGACTCGTTTGCTGCTAAATATAGATAGATACCAGCTACCATCTTGGGAATCAAACTCAGGTAAACTGGTCCCTTTGATTAAAGTTCTGCTATTCACATGCTTTTACTTATCCTTGCAATCAGCTACCTTTTTGCTTTAATGGGTGGAACTTTATTGTTGTATTTTTTCCCTTTCATGGTTGCTTTTGAGATGTGCGTTGCAACTCTGTGCTTGTGTTTTTGTTTTGGGTTACTTGGCCTGGGACCAACTTTGCGTGCCAAATAAGTTCTTGATTGAGAAGTGCGGTTCATTCTTAATGTTTTGAAAGCCACAGTTTTGGGCACGAATGCTTAGCTTTTCACTTTATAAGTATCTCCCCTTTTTTAATTCTCTGAAGATGGTGCTTACTTGTTTGTTGAGCAGTGTGATTGATACTGGCTTCGCAAAAGGCAACCGCAACCATGACTAGAGTTGAGATTATGGTGTTGATGGTTCTCTTTGAAGGGTTATTTTCAGCTGGAGCTCTATCAGATAATTCCACAATACCTGCTTTGGTAAACATTGGAGTTCTCTATTCTTTCAATACCAGTGTTGGTAAAATGGTGAAAACTGCTGTAGAAGCGGCGGTTGAAGATGTAAATTCTGACCCATCTATTCTTCCTCAAACTAAGTTGAAGCTCTCAATGCAAGAAGATACCAAATACAGAGGATTTTTGAGCATTGCTGAGGGTATGTCGGAATATCCCCTTTTTTCTGTGTGTAAAAACTTAAAAACATCTTTTTCTGTTAGACAAGTTAGTTCAAAGTTTGGCAGATTATAATTGTCGTTTGACATAAACTGTGTGTGATACAGCCTTACAGCTCATGGCGACACAAACTGTGGCTATAATTGGTCCCCAGACCTCTACAACGGCTCATGTCATATCTCATATAGCAAATGAGCTCCAAGTTCCTCTGCTATCATTTACAGCCACTGACCCTACCCTTTCTTCTCTTCAATTCCCATTCTTTATTAGAACTGCTTTTAGTGACGTCTATGAGATGACTGCAATAGCAGACCTTGTTAACTACTTTCAATGGAGAGAGGTAATTGCAGTTTATGGTGACGATGACCATGGGAGGAATGGAATGGGTGCATTAGGGGATAAGCTTGCCGAGAGGCGTTGCAAGATTTCATTTAAAGCACCTATGACTCCTGAGGCAACTAGAGAGGAGATTACTGATGTACTTGTTCAGGTGGCCCTGGCAGAATCCCGGGTTATAGTTCTTCACACAAGTACTGCTTGGGGTCCAAAAGTCTTAAGTGTGGCAAAGTCTCTGGGGATGATGGAAAATGGTTATGTCTGGATAACAACTACTTTTCTGTCTACTTGGCTGGATATACATAGTCCCCTATCTCCAGATGCAACAAATGACATGCAAGGGGTCATTGCACTACGTATGTATGTACCAGATTCAAAGCTCAAAAGATGGTTTATTTCTAGGTGGACAAACATGACTACTTCTGGAAAGAATGGTAATGGTACCCTTGGTTTGAGTACTTATGGTATCTTTGCATATGATACTGTTTTTGCTCTTGCTCATGCACTTGATGCATTTTTCAAACGAGGGAATCAAATTACATTTTCACATGATCCAAAGTTATCTCAAATACGTGGAGACAACATGCATCTTGATGCTGTGAAGATCTTTAACGAAGGAAATCTGCTGCGTAAACATATTTATGAGGTTAATATGACTGGAGTATCAGGCCTATTCAAGTATGATTCTGATGGAAACCTTGTTAATCCAGCTTATGAAATCATCAATGTGATTGGAACAGGAACACGGAGGATTGGTTATTGGTCTAATTACACTGGATTATCCATTGTTCCTCCAGAAACACTTTATTCAAAGCCACCTAATCGATCCAGTGCAAGCCAAAATTTACTCCCTGTGTTTTGGCCAGGAGAAACAACCCAAAAGCCCCGTGGTTGGGTTTTTCCAAACAATGGAAGGATGTTAAAAATTGGAGTGCCAAAGAGGGTTAGTTACCGGGATTTTGTCTCTCAAGTACAAGGCACTGACATGTTCAAGGGATTCTGCATTGATGTATTTCTTTCTGCAGTGAACTTGTTGCCCTATGCTGTCCCCTATAAATTTGTTCCATATGGGGATGGTGACAGCAATCCTAGTAACACTGAACTTGTCCGTCTTATCACAGCGGACGTGAGTATCATTACAATAACTTTAGGAGTTTGGAAGTTTTATGGGTACTTCTGAGACCAGTTTTTCTTTGCATACAGGTTTTTGATGCTGCAGTAGGTGACATTACAATTACAACAGAAAGAACAAAGATGGTGGATTTTACTCAGCCATATATTGAGTCTGGTCTGGTGGTAGTAGCATCGGTTAAGAAGACGGATTCCAATGCTTGGGCCTTTTTTAAACCATTTACGCCAATGATGTGGGCTGTCACAGCTATCTTTTTTCTATTAGTGGGAGCTGTTGTTTGGATTTTAGAGCATAGACTGAATGATGATTTTAGGGGAACTCCCAAACAACAAATGGTCACAATTTTGTGGTATGGGAATCTGGTCTTTCTCTCTCCCTTTCTCAAGCTCACTATATTGAATCTGTTGTGTATGTTGTTGATGAATAATTTATCAATGTTACTTTTTCACTCTGGATCAACTTAAATGGATATGTTTATAACTTCTATCCATGTGTTTATTTGACAGGTTTAGTTTTTCGACCATGTTCTTCGCTCACAGTAAGTGCCAATTTTTGTCTTCTGTGATATATATTGGTCCCAATCCCGAGTATAAGTGGTGACTACATTGGGTGTATGAAATACTCTTTTTCTGTACTATGTAGGGGAAAATACAGTGAGCAGTCTTGGTCGCTTTGTGCTGCTTATATGGTTATTTGTAGTTCTAATAATTAACTCAAGTTACACAGCTAGCCTGACATCAATCCTCACAGTGCAACAACTTTCTTCACCTGTTAAAGGCATTGACAGTTTAATAAATAGCAAAGAGCCTATTGGCTACTTGCAGGGTTCATTTACTCGAACTTATTTGATTGAAGAAATTGGTATTGATGAATCCAGACTGGTTCCTCTAAAAACACCGGAAGAAACTGCAACAGCACTGAAAAATGGTCCCCAGAAGGGTGGTGTTGCTGCATATGTTGATGAGCGTGCTTACATAGAACTTTTCCTTTCAAGCCGTTGCGACTTTAGCATTGTAGGTCAAGAGTTCACCCGAAATGGTTGGGGATTTGTAAGTATCTCCTTACCAATAGTCCTAATTTTCTTTATTTTTTTCCTTCACAGTGAACTTTGGAATGTGCCACACTGTTCTCTTTACTTTCTGTTCATCTCTACCTAAAGGAAGCGTAAATGCATTTTTCACTTGACAATTCTGGTTGAAACTTTGTTCTGCTTTAAACATTGTTCATTAACTCAGTCAACCATGAAGCACTGGGGAAAAGGGATTGAGTGATTTATCTGTACTAAACACAGATAATAAATACTTCACTGCCAAATCATAATGTCCAAGCTTGCTTCTGACTCCTCATTTTTGTGGTTTAATAGAAATGCTGCTGTGCCAGAGTCTAAAATAAATATCCTACATTGTAATATATGCATATCTTAGTTTAGATATATCCTAATAGATGTAGCTACTGTTCAATGTTTGCACCTGAAATTTCCTCCCATTTTTGTTGTTATTCAGCAACTTTCCTAACTCAACTCAAGAATATAACTACACATGTTTAAGTTCTTGTTCTTTGAAACCTGTAACCTTGCAACAAAGAACTGTAACCATTCAGGTGAGGTCATGGAACCTTTACTTGATTAGCTGGAGCATAGTCTCTTACCTATGAACTCCTTAAATTAGCTAAATTGTTCTAGTTTCGGCAGAAAAAGTTGGCAGGAAGTTACCATTTCTAATTTCATGTTTTTGTTGGGAATCCAAGTATGAGTCTTAAGTCTCACATTGGATAGAAATGAGAGAGTACAACACTATATAAAGATGAGAGATCCATTAACCCATTGCCTTAAGGTTTTGGCTAGAGAGTGGTGTCAATCTCTTATTGAGCTCATATCTCTTTGGTATTGTGTCTCCTAGATGAACCTCCTCTTCAATAGATCCAACAGTTTTGTTTAGCACTGGAATCTACACCATGATTAATCGTTTGTTGCCCTTCATTTTTCTTAGGCCTTTCCACGGGACTCACCGTTGGCAGTTGATCTTTCAACTGCCATATTGGAGTTGGCAGAGAACGGAGACTTACAAAGGATCCATGACAAATGGCTTTTGAGCAGTGCCTGCTTATCACAAGGTGCAAAGCTTGAAGTGGACAGACTCAAGCTGAGAAGCTTCTGGGGCCTCTATCTGGTGTGTGGGTTGGCATGTGTGATTGCTCTTCTCATATATCTTATTCAGACCATGAGACAGTACTCTAAGCACGGTCCAGAGGAACTTGAGTCTTCTGGCAATGGCTCAGGATCTTCACGTCTGCGCACATTCCTTTCCTTTGTAGATGAAAAGGAAGAGATTGTTAAGAGCCGTGTGAAGAGAAAGAAAATAGAGGGTATGTCCTACAGGAGCACAAGAGAAGTAGGATCATCCATCACCTCCAACAAAGGATTTTCTCAGGCATCATCAAACAGAATTGATTCAGCTACTGAAATCTAACTGTTGCATACTTGTTTGCTCCTCATAATTTTGTAGCTTCTTGTACTAACGCCTTGTGCATCACTCTCCATCCCCCGTTGCAACTGCTGGCTTCCTACATTTTTGTGGTTTTCTTTTTTAGTACATATAAGTGTAAGATATATCATTTTGTGTGGGACTGTAATCTAAGCGTGGGGACAAGTTGGCTTTGCAATTATTGTTTGTACTGATAGTTGTGTAGGATACATAATAATTAATGAAATCATTTCATTTTTATTTATAGTACAATAGACCAATTGTTGACTTTCATTCATTAGCATATTAGCTGGTCTTAGATAACCTTTGTCTATAAGAATGTTGCATGTCATATGAATACACAAAACCTTGGTATGTTGCTTCCTACACCCTATGTTTTCTTCTTACATCCTATCAATTTATTTTATTTTCACTTTTGCCCTTATTTGAAATTTACATCCGAAAAATGTAATCTGAAATAGAAAACATATTCTGGAATTTTTTTTCCAGAAAAGAAAAACGTTTCCAAAAAAAATTTCAAATTTTTTTTATGATTGACTTACCTCTTCCAGAATCTCTTTTATAAAAAACGTGTTTTCCCTTTCATAATCCATTTTCCCGAATCGAATTTCTAATCAACCAGATCCTTTATGGAATCCATTATCCAGACCACGCCACTGCACCTTCCCAAATGCTTCAAATAAAACTTCCAAGGGCAGAAACAGAAATAAAATGACAGTTGACATCTTTCTTCCCTATATAAAGATTAAGGCTGGGCATAATTAACTTAGATACAGTAAACTATAGATAATCTATACTATTTTGTACTATAAAAACTGAACTGTTTTTATAAAAACTGAATTATACTGTTTTTTGGTGCAGTTTAAAAAAACTAAACTTTTTCTATTAAGAGTATAGTTAACTGTTTTAAACTCTGAACTATGTTGTTTAGTTTTTTTTCTTCAAAATAAATAAACATTGAACTATCTTTTAGATTATATATATATATATATATATATATATATATATATATATATATATATATATATAATATGGACAAATAAATAAATAACTGACTTTTATAAAGTTAACTATAATAATTATTATAATAAAATAATATTATTAAATTTATACCAAAATTCATTAAATATTTTAAAAGAACTAAATTCTATTAAATTGAAATTATAAATCAATAATTATTTTGTAAATTAATAAAATTAAATATATATAATATATATAATATAGATAAATAAATAAATAACTGTTTTTAAATTATTTAAAAAGTTAATATAATAATTATTAAAATAAAATAATATTATTAAATTCATACTAAAATTCATTATATATTTTAAAAGAACTAAATTTTATTAAATTATAATTATGAATCGATAATTATTTTGTAAATTAATAAAACTAAATATATATATATATATATATATATATATATATAT